AATTCAAATGATCTATAAGCATTAATTCATTTATTTATTATATAGTTGCTAAGTAACAAAATAAAAAAAAAAACATTTAAAACAAAATTAGATGATATATCAATTTTATTCTTTCCTAGTGTAGATCTATTAGAGTAAACTTATACAGTCACTCCCTCTAAGTGCATGCCCTCAGAATCATCAAAATGTGCACTTAGAGAAATTAAAATTTATAATTGTTATGTTACTTGGAACCAAGAGGTGCACTTAGGGGTGCGACTACCAGTTATTAACCATTAACAATTTTTAAAATTCTGAATTCCAGAGAGAATATCGTTCTTTTCATAAGATAGGATGAACAGGATCAACCAATCAAATTGATCACGTGAAAACAAAAAATTTCGAGTTTATTTATAATAAATATACTTTATTTTATTTGCGTATTACATTAAAAAATAAAAGATTTATTTTCATCCTTTTCAACTCCAATTCGTTCATCATAACAATATCTAATATTAAATATTCTACTAGATCACCCATCTCTGCCGATTTTTCATTAACCCAATTTTACCCGGATTATACGGTATATGTTCTATTAGCGCAGCATTCATCTCTGTAAATTTTTGAAAATGAATGAATGCTTTATATTAATTCTTTTCAACTTTATCTCTGCCACTTTTTAATAATAGGTGAATGCTTATGTTCAGTCTTTTCAACTCCAATTCCATTGAAATAACATTTTTATCCGGAATAGATGCTTCATCAGCGTTTCTCATCCCTACGGATTTCTGAAAATGAATCATAATAATAGCCAGCATTAATGTTCCACCAGCGTCAGCCATCTCTTCTAATTTTTAATATTTTCAGCTCTATTAGAATAGCAACCTTACCTATATTAGACGTTCCATTAACGTTTCCCATCTGCAGATTTTTGAAAATACAGTCGACTCTGCACACAACGAACCCTGAGGGTCTATATGTAAAAATTTTTAAAAAGTTCGTTATAGAAAATTTACTATCGCTATGTTTTTATACCGAACTCTAATAAATTTGCTAAAAGAAGTTCGTTATAAAGTGAGTTCGTTATAAAAGTTATATCCAGAGTCGACTGTAAATGAGTGCTTTATATTCATACTTTTCAACTCCAATTCCTTCATCACTAGCGTCACCGTGTCCAACGATTTTAATAAAAAATTAATACTTTATGTGTAGCTTTTTCAACTTCCATACTACTAAAATAACAAATCTTACCTGGATTATACGTTCTATCAGCATTCCCAATCTATGCGGATTTGAATAACTTACGTTCATCCTTTTCATCATCATCAATAGTCTATCTTAAAATCAATCAATGCGAATGAGAAAATTTTGATAAACGATCGTTATACTCACAGGCGAATAAGAATTGGATAAGAGATGAATAGCATATTTGAGTACTTCGATTAATTAACGATCACTATATTCACAGCCTAGATAAACACAAATAAATATAAGACCAGACCAATTTGATTATTTTACATTACCTCCCGGTTTATAAGATAGGGCAAAAAAATTTTCTATATATATAATACGTTCAAACCCACTCCTACTCCCCAGAAGGTAGAGAGGTAATGTAAAACAGAGAATTAAATTGGTCTGGCCTAAATAGGATTTGAGTATTGAGCGTGGAATAGAATATACCTCAATTGTTAAAATAGTTTAGTCCAAAGAAATCAGTGAAGCATTTCTTGCAAAACACATCTATTAATGCTTTCTTCTCGATCAAGATTAGCAAAGGTTCAAGCTTTTCAGCATAGCATTTCTGCAAAGTGCACCTGCTAATGCTTTTCCACCTTATGATTCAAGTTTATCAGATCAAGTCAGCTTGCAAGGTACAATACATCCGCTGTTGTATTTTCTTCTGACCCTTTCAGCATGGTGCTCTAGTAAAGTGAATCTACTAACGCTTTTTCACCTTTCGAGCTAAATTTGTAGCCCTATCTTGAAATACTGCACGAAAAACAGACGTTAGGGTTTCAAAATCGAATTTGGGCCAAAATCCCGAAAAGCAGATTCCCGAAAGAACATAATGACAAAGTTAGCCGGCACTAGCTATAATGCTAGCCAATTTAGTCAGTGTTATGTTCTTTCAATAATCTGTTATTCGGGATTTTGACCCAAAATCTTCAAAATCTACTTATCTCGCATATTTTCTGTTTTATGAGATACGGCGAACGAAGAAGTTATATAATTAATTATTATGAAAAGTTGGGATTACGTATAACAGGGCGATCTTCCTATATACGTCAGTAATGGTTTTATAAATTAAAATAAAAAAATTTTTAATGATTTCCTTTGTTGACTAACGGGTATGGCTGAGGGTGCCAGGTAATTCCTAGCTGCAGGCAGTTGTAGGGGCTGGGTACGTATCCGGCAGTTAGTTTAAATGATCGCGCATCCCGTAAATTCTAACTGTTTCTAACAACATCACGATGGGATAATCATTACACACATACTAATTTTTTTTTAATTTTTTAGCCAGATATTAATATAACTTACTTTTTTTATTTTAAATATATACAAAATAAATAAATATAGGCGATTAATATTTCCTAAATCACTTTTTTTTAAAAAACTAATCAAAAGTATCTTGACAACTTCCTAACCAAATTTAATAAATTTTTTTTTACTGAAATTCTATGAGTCTGTAGAATTCAAATAATAATAGCAATAATAATTTATTGAATTTGGTTAGGTTGTTATTAAGATATTTTTAATTAAAAAGAAAATTTTTTTATGACTATTATTTTAATAAATGGTTAGATTTTTTAAAAAACTTTGATCAAAGATATTTTAACAAGCAGTTGACCAAATTAGATGTTTTATTATTATTATTATTATTATTATTGAATACTGCATATTTATAGAATTTTAATAAAAAAAAAAAAATTTTTATTGAATTTTGTTAACTAGTTATTAAGATATCTTCAATCAAAGTTTTTTTAAAAAAAATTTAATTGTTTATTAAAATAATAGTTACAGAAAAATTTTCTCTAACTTTAATTAAAAATATCTTGATAACAATCTAACCAAATTTGATAAATTTTTTTTTTTTATTAGAATTCTAAAAGTCTTTAAAATTAAAATAAAAAAAAATTTATCAAATTTGATAAAATAGTTATAAAAATACCTTTAATAAATATTTTAAAAAAAAGTAATTTATATGGGTGTAAAAATATTAAAAAAGGAGTATAAAAATATATATATATATTTTTTGGTATTAAGGTGATCTCTTGGCCAGGGGATTTTTTATTAAATATAACATATGTTTATATAATTACAACAAGAGTATATCAAGCTACACATGCACTTTTAGTGCCTAATTTAAGTAGTCTGTCTGAAGGTTTTATACTATTTGCCATACCTGTACCCCAACTACAGAGGTACTCATTTAAGCTCTCTGGTTATAACTACTATTTGTTACATCTAACTCTAGGTATTACTAGGGTATTTGGTATGGCTAAAAAATCTTCCATGCCATGTGATATGCCATTTACCAAAGTTCGTGCCAGGATGCCACCCTGGCATGCCATTAATCCACGTGATAAAAATACTTAAGAATGATTGGTCAGTTCTCTTATACTATTGATACTATATAGTATATATATATAATTAAAAATTTATTCTTAAATGATTTTTATATTTTGAGAGATGTAGATATAGTTAAAATAATATGCAATGAATTTATTAGCTTGCTTGCTCTATTTTATTAATCAGCTTAATTAATTTGTAGCAAATTTGCTTGCAAATTTTGAAACTATTTGCGAAGAGCCTTTAACCTAATAACATTTTTAATTATTTCTAACAATACCTCACCTTTATTTTTCTTTTAGTATAATGAGCATGTTATATTAAAATTGATAATCAATTTAAAGTTCCAACATCCGTAACCTGATTAGATCATTTTAACATGACACTTTAATGAGAATAATATATATGATTATTAGATAAAATTTTGCAGAAAATTTGTCTGCATTAGTAAATCACTTAAGGGATGATAATTAAGTATATGAGCTGCATCAAGTTAATAACATCTTTATAAATCTGTGCATTTAAGTATAAATAAAGAAACAAGCACAATTATAAAATAAAATCTTTGCATATAAAATCCCTATACCCAAATTGATTTATTATATTTTTAATGTTTTTTACATTTTGCACACTAATTATAAATGAATAAATAAATTCGTGAATGCATGCTTAAACCATACCTTGACAAATATATATTTACTATTTATATTTCAGCCACGAACTGAAGCTAATTATGCTTAAGAAATTAAGCCTTAACTTTAAGCAATATTCGAGGCTACAGATTCGGCCCGGACCAAACCAACTTCTAACCATAGTTTCAAATTGAGCCATTTCATGGTATAAAAATTAAATACCATCTTACCTAAGCTATGATTCAAGATTATGAATTAGCCTAAACCTAATTAACTTCAAATTCTGACTAGAACTGGCTTTAAAATTGAGCCATTAGGATATTCTGTAGTATGGGTTAAAAAAATTAATTATACCAAAATAAAATAGTTAAAGATATATTTAACTGTTTGGGCTGAATTTCTGTTATAATATCAGAGCCTCAAAGATTCAGATCATGAGTTAAAATAGATAGAAAGTGACAGAATTTTTTAAATAGCATGTCTAAAAAATATATAAACCATCTCAAAAGATTAATAAAAATGAATTATTATCGAGTTAAAATAACTTGATAAGATTTTCTACCTTAACATCATTCAAAAACTTAATATTATAAATAAAAATTGGGTTAATTAACTACACAAATTTCAAAAAATACCCAAATTGTCCAAGTTAAATTCCTTTTTTTCTGCTATTAACCTATAATAAAGAATAAATTACCTATATACAAAAGAATCCAGACCTGTATTATACAGTCATACATCAGTACCAAAACAAGTAAACTCATGGTTGACCTTATAGGTAAAACTACTTAATTCCTACCTGGTTTTATTCTTCCTGACATGAAGCTTCATGATTATCACTGGACAGGGTTTTGGCATTCTATAGAAAAAGGAACAGGCAATAAATATACTGCTAAATGTATTTATTGCAACCTTGAACTACCTAGCAGACCTGAAAAACTTCATACTTACGTTCTCACATATAATAGTTGGCCTGTTACTAAAAAAAATTCTTATCTTAAAGAAGTAACAAATTCTATTCCTAATTCTTATAAAAAAATCAAAAAGAACTTAATTTCTGATCAAGAATTACTTATATATGTAATAGTTTTTTTTTTTTTTTTTTTTTTTTACTAAAACTAATAGAAGCTTTTGTAGTGACACTAATGGTTCATCCTCTTCGGCAGTAAAACGTCAAGAAAGTTTAGTAAATTAGTATATCAAACTGATTTTACAAAATAAGCAAGCTAAAATAAATAAAAAATTGCTTGATGCTATTATCTATAGTAATCTTTCTTTTAGAGTTATTGAAAATTCCTATTTTCTCAAATTTCTTAACGAGTTGGAACCGAATTATAATCCTCCTTCTGCTAATATGTTGTGTGGGAAAGTTCTTAATAATTCATTTTCAACCTATCTAAACAAAAATTAGAAGTAATGGAATCTTAAACTGAATATTATTATTGCTTTAGACAGGTGGCAAAATATATCAAAAAATTCCATATATAGTTTTATAGCTTTAAAGGAGGATAAAGAACATGTTTTAGATATTGTTGATTTATCTGCCAACTAACATATAGCAACTTTTCTTAAAAAGTAGCTTGAAAAAATATTTAACTTCAAGCTTCATTTCTCTTAATTCTGTGATTATTGCATGCATAACTGATAATCTCACCATCATGACTTAAATGAAAAATATTCTTAAAGAAAATCATCCAAATATCATCCCTATCCGTTGTTGTCTCCACGCCTTTAATATACTTACAAAAGATATTTCTGCCTTTCCACCCTTACTTAAAGTTATTAAAAATAATCAAAAACTTGTTAATTTTTTTACATCATCTTATATTTGGCTCCGTACCTTACAAGAATGGCAAAAGAAAGAAGGTCTGTGTCATTTACTTACAACATTTTGTGAGACTAGATGGTACTCTCTTGCAAAAGTTTGCTTAGGTGTTAAAGCCTTTGAAAATGGATTTAATAAATGTATTGATCTTAGTAAAACCAGTAATTATCTAGCAATAAGAATGGAAATTCAAAACATAATTACCAACCACTATCACTTTGCAAACAACAACACTTTACTAAAAGTGCTTATTCCTGTCATCGATGCTATCAGTTGCCTTGAGTCGAGAAATGCTACTCTAGTAGACATCTTTAAAGAACTATTAAGCATTTATTGCAATATTTCTACAGAAAATGTTTCAGTTGAAGGGTTCAAAAACTATGCCTTGGCAGCTCTTGATAAATAGACACGTGAATTCTCAGATGGCATTTATTTTGTTTCATTTTTTTTATCATCTAGTTATAAACAAATAGCAATGTCAAGACAAATGTTAGGTGATTTAATCGTTAGGGCATCTTTGGAGTTGGCAAAAGCCTGGGGTATTGACAAAAAAGAAACAACACTTTTGTTTAAAGAACTTATCAGTTATAAGAATGGTAATGTTCCTTTTGAAAATCAATATTCTGAAAATATTAATCACAGAATTTTCTGGACCAAGTTTACAGGAGGTTCCCTACTTATTCGGCATTTTGCCATAAAGATATTTGCAATTGTTCCATATTTAGTATCTGTTGAACATTTGTTTTCTAGTTTGGGATTAGTCAAGACAAAATTATGAAACAGGATGTCTCTTGCTTTAATGAGAATGCTCGGGATGCTTCACTATAATCTTCAATAGAGACTATCTAAAATGTCAAAAAAATTCCCAAAAGCAAATAATCAGAATATATTTGAAGATTCTATAAATAGCGAAAATGCCAACATTGACCTCTTTGAGGAAGAATTTAATGAAGAATTTTCACAAATTAATATTGAGGCAACAAACCTTGAAATGGAAAATGAACTAGCAATAGAACAATTTTTTAATATTGGAATGCTTGAATGAAATCAAGAGAATATAACTGAAGACTATTCAGTTGTTAATTCTCAACAACCTACCAATAGTACTAATGAAGATTGGTTAGTTGATGATATTTTCTTTCAATATAATACTAGTTAGAATAAATTTATAGAAATGTAATTTTTTTTATTTAGGTATATTAGGCCAGGCCAAGTTAATTTTTTGGTTCTTATAACATAAAATTTTTGAAAGTAACCTGGCAACCCGGCTTTTAATTTTATTTTCAAAAAATTTTATATATAAAAAAAATATAAAATTTTTTAAAAATTTTTTAGAAAAACCCACCTGGATAGTAAATATACTTAAAAAATTTTTTTTTAAAGGTTTGTAAATTTGACCCAGCTGGATTATGAGAACTAATTTATTAAGTTGGTATGGCCTTACATTACCCTAATAAAAATTAATAAAAATTTTTATAATAGTCTCAAGTTCATATTCTAAAGTAAACTATTAGAATTCAAATTTAAAAAATAAAAAAAAAGTTTAGTAATGACTTCATAAAAATCTGTAATCTACGAAGTATAAGAAAAAATAAATGTATCTATAAAGCATAAAAGTAATAAATCAATAGGTGTGGCGATCTAGTGTAGTGGTTAGGTTGTCACCCCCACCAAGTGGCAGGTCAAGAGTTCGAAACCCACCGTCGA